GTCCCCCGCCTGTATGGCCACTCACCCGCCGAGCTGCGTGGCGATCCTATTTTGGGATTGCTTTTTGAGAGATCCACAGAGATGCTGGTGAAAGTAAGAAATGAGACACGAGATGAAGTCTTCAGACCATGTTTCAGGCCACGCGTGTGCCTCCGGGACCTGCTTTGGGCGTGTTTGGAGCCGGGAAGCCAGCCGTGAGCCTCTGGCTGTGGGCCGTCACCTGCGGGGCAGCTTCCTGGGTAGGGACGGAACCAGCCTGTCTTCCTGCCGCCGTGGGTGCCGGCGGGTGTGCTGACCCTGGGCCCCAGACGCCCCGGTCTGCCCGGCACTGAGCCACGGAGGCGCAGAGCACGAGTGTCTGCTTTCCTCCTTAAACGTTTGATGGTCCTGTGGTTTGAGGTGTGGGTTTCTTCACGGGAGCAGAGCCCTTGCTCACGGGCTTCCTGAGGAAGGGGCGCTGGTGGAAGAAGTGTGAGCTGAACTCCAAGGACGACTCACCGTCTCGGAGCAAAGAGTGCTTCGCGCTGACGCCGTCATCCTCCAGCTCCCGGGTCTGTGGAGGAACGTGTCATATGCTTAGCTTCTCAGAGTCCTGCAACAGACATGATACAAACGTTTATGGCTTTGCCTCAGCTGTGACAAGGCCAAGTCAATGAAGACGTTTCCAGGTGTCACTGGCTGGGAACATGAGTCTGGCGTTAACAACTGGTGGAGAAGTTCAGGTGATGTTTGCGGTTTGCTCACCCGTCAGGGGACCCAGGAAATTCAGGAAGGAAGTGGTGCTGCTGGTGCCATTTGTGAGCACAGCCCAGTGTGTGGGGTCTCCATGAAAGACTCAGAGCCCTCCAGGCAGAGTGCTGGCCCGTCACAGACACACCGCATGCTTGCACCAGCCATACCCTCCAAGTAGAGAAAATGCCATCAGCCAGTGTAATGGTTTCACCTCAATCTTAACAGAACATTGAGACAGCTGCAGGGCCCCAGGGGAATATTGACAGACCTCTCGGATGAAGAAATCCCCATGGCAAGTGCCAGTGTCAACTCACGGCTTCTACAGATGCCTAACTCGTGTTACCGCCAGCAGTATCAATGACTTCGCCTATTAGGGGAATGAAGACTGTTGACTCATAACACGTATCGGTACACTCAGTGTGAGGGACACGATCAGGGAGGCTAAGGAAACGCTATCCTTAAAGATCCATGTTAGGAGATGATGTCACAGGCGGGGGAGGCCTCCACACACTCTCCTTGGGTGGGTTCTGGTCGAACGTGGGCACAGGCTACGCATGGCACGGGCTAGAAAGAAGCCTGAATGGTTAAGCCACAGTGTCCTCCAACGTCTCCCTCTCTCCAGGCTCCTTTGCCCTAGTCATAATCAAGAAGCAATTCTAGACCTTACTCCTTCTGTTGGCATTTATGAAAACCATCCTTATTTACTGACAACTCGTCCTATACCACACAATGAGTTTTGCCGGTTCAGCTGACTTTTTGTCAGTTAGGTGTGTGTCCCTCTGTCATCTTGAACTTGTTCCTAAACCCCTTGCTCTCTGCCAGGCCTTACGTGAGCACTTTATAGAAGCCATTTATCACAACAAGCCTGTGAGTTAGATATCGTTTTCCTACATTTTAGATGACAAATCTGACACTTTAAGATATTGAATCATTTACCCAAATATCACCAGGCTAGCAGGTGGCCAGGCTGGGTCGGTCCTGGACCCTTAGCTCTGTGGTCTTTGCCAAGTCAATTACTTGATGTTTTAGAGCCTCAGTTTCTTCAACCTAAATGGGAAAATGGACTCTATTCTGTCTATGGTACAGTGTTCCAGGAAGAAGGAGGATAATACACGTGAAACATTAGGACAGGTAGAATGCTACAGACATTCAAAGCACCGTTCTTAAACACAGTACACAATAAATTCTTCAGGGGTTCAGAAAAGGAACAGGCACAGAGGGTTAATTCAGCAAGTTTCTTCTTAATAGGTGTTTTTCTCCTTCCCTCCTTGATAAAATTTACTACTGTGGCTCTCATGAGAGGAAAATAACTGGGTGGTAGAGCCAGGTACAGCGGGAGACACTACCTGAATTTCCTTGTTTCCTGGCGTCTGAGTGAAGTCTCACAACAAGATCTTGGAGGACACACCCAGCTCTTCATTAAAATGTAAGCGCTGTAGTTGTAAAAATTCTTGCTCTGTGGTTATAACGGAGAAGACAAAGGAACGGTATTCGCGGATCCACAGAGGAGGGGTGGGGGTTATTTGCTCAGGAGCCCCGCCCTGGCTTCACCTCCACCCCGCTGTTGACCTTGAGTGAACCGGTAATCCCGCCAGGCAGCCTTGTCTGCCCCTGTGCATCACAAAGAATACAGCAGCCACCCTCAGAACAGGAACAGTGAACCACAGAATGGTTGAGACTTGCCCGGCCGAGTGAAATGTCCACTGGACCGTCCCTGCTACATCAGCCGACCCTCCGCCGGACTCTGGCCCTTCTGGGATGGCCCCCGGTGTTTCAGAGGGAGGTTCAAGATGGTCCCACACTAAAAAAAAAAAAAAAAAAGTTCATTGATTGTTAATTTTTTTTTTTTTTTTTGCAGTACGCAGGCCTCTCACTGTTGTGGCCTCTACCGTTGCGGAGCACAGGCTCCGGACACACAGGCTCAGCGGCCATGGCTCACGGGCCCAGCCGCTCCACGGCATGTGGGATCTTCCCGGACCGGGGCACGAACCCATGTCCCCTGCATCGGCAGGCGGACTCTCAACCACTGCGCCACCAGGGAAGCCCCACTGTTAATTTTTAAATCAACACATTGCCGCAATACGAAATATGTGATGGGAAGGTAGAACTCTGAGCTTTGGAAGCCCTTGTCCCAGGCTCAGTGGCATCTTGGAAAGAGTGCCCTGCGGGGATGAAGGTGGCTGGACCGGTGCCCGCAGGGACGCAGGACGCTGGGAGCTGTCCTCACAGCAAGCTTAGGCTCCGTCTCTGCTCAAAACAGGTTTTCCCATTAACCATCGGGGTTCAAGCTCACCGAGACTCCCAAACTGAGGACACGTTTTCTTGATTTTCCGACTAGAAAATCCAACTGGCCCTTGTTTACTGAGCCTGGTTGCTTGTAGGGCCCTGTGGAGATGAGAGGGACCCGGCAGCCCCCCAGTCCTGGGCCTGTTCAGTGCGACCAGGGGGCCACCCCGCCCTGGGTGTGATCGGCACCCTCTGAAGCTCCGGGCCCTTCTCCCTGGTTCCCTCCGTCGCGATGGCCAGCAGCCCTGCCCTGGGTAACGGGTTCTCAGACACTGGGAGCAGCCCAATTGCTGGTATTAGCAACGCCTGAAGTGGGCTTGTGGAGAATATTTGCAGTGAGGGGGGCTCCTGGGAGACCCTCAGGAACCCTTTGGAATCAGCTAGAAGCCCTGCTCTGTGTATCCAGCCTTCAGTGTGCGGGCAGAAGGCATGGTCCCCATTCAGAGAAGGGCCCGGCTTCCGAGCGGCTCGCACCGTCTCTGGCTTTGACGTGTCTGGACGCCCCCCCACACACACACACTGAGAAACTGGGCCTCTTGAACTCCATTTTGGGGCGAGTGTTTGTAGCGCTTTGGAATGTCAGAGCTGACCGACTTTTCTCGTGGGTTTTATTTCAACTTCCTGCCACAGCCAATTTTCAGTCTCTCAAGAACAGATCTGTGCAGGACCCCAAAGCCATTGAGTCCAGGGGACTTTTGAATCGTTGGTCACACCTTAGCGGGGGGCTTTGGCAGCTGCCTTTGTAAACACCTTCAGAACATTCCACAGCGTCTGGTCCGTGTCACCTGTGCTCAGGTAAACATGTCAGGCGTGAACCCCTTCCCCGTCTCTAGATGTTTCTTACCTGTCTTGTCTCTACTGGGAAAAAGCCAACGTTAATATCTCAATAAGACGGATAGGATGGCGTCCAGTCTCCAGTGGACGATACCTTCCAAGTTCAATCAGTTTAGGCCTCGCCAAGTTTCCCAAGCCCCAGAACTGTTTAAAACAAAAAATAAGTAAATAAGTAAAATCTCCCAGAGAAAGGACAGAAGCACAAACTACAGCAAAGGCCCCGTGCGTGCTCTCCTGACCCCACTGCCGAGCTGCTCCCAGGGCTGGGAGCAGGAAGTGGGGAGACGCGGCTGAAATGCCGGGAATCTGGACTTGGGGTAACACACTCACCGCCGTGGAAGCCCTGAGCTCCAGGGCTGCAGCCAGGCTGTTTTCTCAGCAGAAGCAGGTGGTGTGGGGGCCGCCGGAAGGCTCTCACTGCCATACCAGATGATGGAGCTCGGCGCTTCCCATTTTCAAGTTTGCACCTTGCGGAGGAAGGGGAGGAAGGTGGGAGAAACGGGGACTCTCGGGGGTGCCCTGCTGGCCATGAAAGCTCCTGAAAACAGGCAGAGAGCTGTCACTGACCGCAGGAGGGTGGTTACTCCAGAACCAAAGTCAGGGATGATTCACATAGCAAACATATTAAGCTGTGACCGATCACATGTCCTTAATCCCCTCTGAGCGTCTGGTTTCAACACCCGTCAAATTGTTTTGCCCGTTTTCGGCGCGTTTCTGTGTCGGCGAGTCCCCAGTGAACACTGCTCCCCGCACCCTCTTCTCTCCTTGTAAAGCTACATTCTTGTAATCTCGAGTATTTCACCTTCTCTAGACGACAGAATTGTATGTATTGAATGATGGTCTAATAGCTTCATATCCACGTTGATGTTTATTTTCTCTGTGTTACCAAATACGTGTTACTTAAAGGCAAACACTACATGAGCTACTGCCCAGGAGCACCCAGCCTTGGCGTTGGAACTTGACACAAGAAAAACACGAGGTTCCCTGCACACCCTGGCGCTCCACTTCGGGGGCTGAAGGACCCTCGGTGGGGGAGGGAGGGAGGGAGGAGGTGCGGTGACGGCCTTCAGCGGGACCTGGGGGCAGGGGGTAGCGGTGGCCCTGGATGACGCCCTGCACGGGCTAACGCTCTGCTTTGGGGCTTGCAGACGACCACTCCCGGATCCGGCTGAAATCAGAGAACAGCCACGGCAGCTCTGACTACATCAACGCCAGCCCCATCGTGAGTACCGCCCGCCACGCGCCAAGGCTCCCGGGGGGGCGGGGCGGGAGCGGGCCGGCCGGGCACTGGTCCCATAGCAGATAGCCGGTCTGTCTCCACCGGGTAACCAGCCTCCACCAGGGACCAGGGCTGGCGCTCTGCCCCCCTGCCCACTCCTGATGGCTTGGTCCCCAGGCGGGGCTGAGTCCCAGGCAAAGGGAATGTGGTGTCGGGGTGCTGAGCCCGGTCACCCCAGGGGCCCAGCAACAGCGCCCTGACGAGTTACTGCTGGAACCCGTGGCTTTGGGGGAATTCGTAGCTGGTTGTGTAAAGGGCTCCTAGGCCCCCTTGTTCCCTGTTCGGGGGAAGCAGGAAAACCCAGACCCAAACCTGGCACGTGTTGAAGTGATGGATGATGTGGAAGCAGGTCGGAAACTGCGGGCTGGTCTCCTCCGGTCTTTGCAGCGGGCGGGGTCTTCCCTTCGAGGGAGGGGGTGCAGCAGCGCCTCTCTGGGCAGCGGGTGTGATGGAGGACGGGGGCAGGTGAGACCTTCTGGCCGGCAGGTGTTCCCAGCCTCTGGAGAGCCCCTCACGGCCACAGCCTGCCGCTCCCTCGCGGCTTCCCGCCCTGCACCCGGGGAGAGGCCGCAGGGGAAAGTCGGGGGCCGCCCAAGGGGAAGGAAGAGGGGCTGGCAGGGGGGTGAGTGTAGGTCAGCAGCTGGTGGGAGGAACCTGCCAGGGGTTCTCAGGGCACGTGGTGGGCGCACCTGGGCCCGCAGCAGAGAGGCAGGAGGAGGTGGGGCTGTGTCCCCCTTAAACCGTGGTTCTTGACGCCGGTCTCCGGGGAGCGTCAGGACAGCTCAGTAAGTTCTCACAGTGGCTTCAGTCAAATACGGGCGTGCAGGACGCAGCACGTCCTGGGGGCTCCGGCGCTGTGAGGTTATGGGGGAGGGGGGAGGTGGTTATGGGGTCATCTCTGGATTCGCGAGAGCGCCCTGGGTGAACGACAGCCCCTGCCGTCCTCAGTGGTGACCTTGGATGAGACAGTTCGTGGTCTGATCGCAAGCAGAATCGCTGATAGACTGCTGTCATCGTGGTGGTTCCATTTATTTCAGTGCATCTGCTGTATAAACCTCATTATTATGACTCCAGTGTGCCGTGGGTCAGCCCCATTTCCTGACACCTCACAACCACACAGCGAGGGCACAGTGTAACACGCTTGCGGTGCGAAAGGGATTCGGAGGGAAGCATCTTGTCTGCACCCGTCTGAGCTCAGGCCTTTGTTTCTGGGGTTATTTTTAAGGACTCACTCCTTTCCCTCCAGCAGAGTAGACCTCAAACGTTGGCTCCGTCTGTGTTCAGAGGCCTAACTGGAGCCGTTCAATCAGTCTTTCTAAATAAACACACTTGTTGAGTTTGGTATTTTTCCATCAATTCTAAATTCAAAAAACCAAGCCAAAGCCCCATTGATTTACGCATCTTTCATCCGCTGAGGGTGGGCTTTGTAGCTGCCTGGACCTGGTCCCTACAGAGGGGTCATGATGATGGTCTGTAGAAGGGAAAGAGCTGCCTTCTCCCCGCCGGGCTCCTTCCCTGGGATGAACCACGTGACAGGGCCAGAATGAGCAATAAAGCAATTCTTTTCACGTCTCAGAGACGGGGGTTCAGTGTTGGGGGGTGCCCGACTCTCCCCCATTTTATGGGTTCCGGCTTCCAGACATTGGAGCTATTTCAGGCTAAAGTTAGGACTCAGTGAGGACAGGGTGCTGGTGAGAAACTGCATCTCTCCCAGAAGCCGCCCACCAGCAGCCCCTACTCCTGTGCCTTCCCCGTCTCTCTCTTGTTGGTGGAAATTCAGAACAGCCTCTCAGGCTTAACGGGTCAGGGACCTGGGTCAGAAGGTGAGGCCAGGAGAGGCAAGTGATTTTTCGGTGTCTTTTATGTTCTCCTTTTATTTCATGCCACAGTTCTTTTTTGTGCAAATTTGGGTTGGAAGCATGAACTAGAAGACATCCTCGGTACCTCTTCCTGAAATGACTGAAGGTCTGATGTTAATGAGTTTCCTAGCAGAACTGAGTGAGGAGCTTACAATGAGAGCCCAAGAAGCCCGTGACCGTGCAGAATAAAACTACAATAACTACGTCTGTCATATTTGTACTTAGTCGTCATTAAATTTCAGGAAAGCCATCCAGTAGTAAATAATGTGCAATCTCTGCTCTGAAATGAGAGGTCATGAAAGTAAACGGGAATTCGGCTTCCCCGCATGGGGTGTCTGCGGGAGAACTCCATCAGCCACACTGGAGCTTGGTCACTGTCAGGCATGGACTAAGGGGTGGCAGGCGTGAACACAGCAGTACACGAGTCCCCTTACCAGGGACAAGTCTGAACGTCCCAACAACACTTGAAAGTAAACTTACTCTTCATTTCTCTGTTTATTAAGGGGAGAAATGGTTTCATTTTTAAACTCAGAATGCGTTTAACAAATTTAAGTAGACACAAACTGACTCTTCAGAAAAGGATGACTGCTCAGATGCCCTGAACATCCTAAGGAATTGGCCAAATATGGGGGCCGATTCCTTGGTTTTCGGATTTACAAGCAAACATCTGTATGTGTATAATTCTGGTTTATAGCCAATACTTTTCTTAAGTAAATCTCAACTCATAAGAATAGGAAAAAAAAGCCAGACTCTCTCCCACTGATTTTACTAATGCTACAATTTCCCAGCAAACTCTCACATTGACTTGGTGTCTGGGAAAGTGACTTGAAAACTCAGGCTTGATGTTCTCTTGTTTTTAAGAAAACATCTGTGAAATTTGCTTTACATGTTAGGAAAAGCAGGTGTAAGGTGGGCAGATAGAAATACTGGAAGATAACCTGCGTGTTCACCTTGAGTGAGATTGCAGGGTAGGAGACGTGATCCCCGTGACCCCCCTACCAGAGGCTGGCCCAGACCTTCCCTGAGACTTTGGGCCACCAGGTGGTCTGGGGGCAGTACCGGCCCTGCCCTCACCTGCGCACCAGCCGGCAGCGCCCCCTGCCTGTCACCCTTCAAGGCTTCAGAACACAGGCGCCCTGGTCTTAATATGCTGAAGGCTTAGTTTTTAGGATGAGTTTTGTTTGGAGCATTGGGGAAATATTGCTACATTTTTTAATGCAGATTAGAACTAGTTACTCATGGTCATTTATAACTGTCATTCCACAGCTTGAACCAAATCGCTAGGTTTTTTTTTTAACCGTGCATTTAGAAATTCATAGGGATATACCTTGCGGGCACCCTAGTTCATGTGGTATCTTCATATAAGACTCAGTCAGCCACATGAACAGTACACTGAACACAAACTTTGGGGGTCTCCTTTTTCTGAAAAAAATCCCAGAATCCCAGAGCTAAAGGGCCCGTAGAGACCAAGTCCTGCCTCCCCGCCACCACCCCACCCATTTTACAGACACTAAGACTGAGGCCAGAGACCCTGACTTCATTCACAGTGCTGGACCTTGTGTTTATAATCACAACAGTCCTACAGATAAAAAGTACACTACAGAGAAATGGGAAACAACAAGGAAGAATGGGGGAAGATTCAGCTCAGATGTCAGCAGAAGCCAATGCTCATCCCCACCAGGAGCTGGAGGTGGAGGCATCGTCACCCACCACGCTGGGCTGGCAGCCAGAGCTCCCGATGGAGAAGTCGTGTCCGTAGAAACTGACGCGATTTCCTCTAGTTATGCTTATCCCGCCTTGGAGATCTTAAGTGTAGTAAGACTTCAGTGCATTTAGTTAAATTTTTGCTTTACTTTCATTCATTCAAAGTTGCACAGAACTGGGCTGAGGCTCCCGTGGCCTTATCTTTGCTACACGCACAGAATACTTCTGCCCAGAATTATTTTCTGTCCAACAGGATGTGCACGGGATGAGGCGATGGTGGTGTGGTCATCTCAGTCACTGTTCAACTGGTGGCACGTCACCGCTCTGTGATCACTTACTGCCTTCCAAGCGGCAGCCACATGACGCAGCCAAGGGGGAGGGGAGTGATGGGCCACTGAGCGCCCCCCTCCCCCTTACCCCAGCCCCATGCCCTCCGGTCCCGGTCTCAGATGAGCAGTGGATGGGGAAGATGGGAACACCGTGACATCAGGACCTCCCACAACAGGGGGCCTTATCTACCCTCCCGAAACCCTGTTCCGATTTTTACTTTCAATCACATATTTCTCATTGTGAAAGCCACTAAATGTGCTAGGTTGAACGTACTAACGATTTTAAAATGTGTTGCTCTCTGAATTGCTTTGGGCAAAAAAGCACACTTGAAAAGGAGGTGGGGTTTTACTTTTCATGCAGAACTATTTGCAGGGAAGAGATAGGGGTCTCCGTAAATAGCTGTCACCCCCAACAAATGCATATTTTGAACATAAAACTCCTTATTTCTGCCAAGCATTTTTCTACTGAAACATTTTAATTGGGGCTTTCAGCTACAGAGTAACGTAATTTTACCTGTATTGTGTGTGTTGTGCATTTCCGGTTTCAATTACGAATCTCACTAAATTAGATGCACGATAAGCTTTTCTCCTGCCCCTCCACCCCCCAGCTAGCGTCAGATGTTGTTCTGTTACAGTAGCTTACACCTGTTCTTTTGTGCCCTTTCCCCGTTTCATGGTGCACATAATTATAAGGTGCGCTGGGGGCATCCTTTCACGCTGACAACCCTCGGCCCCGAAAGTGTTGACGGGCGGGCGCTGCGGGAGGATTCACTGGATCCGTGTTAAGGCGGACGCGCCTCACGCAGGCTCTTCTCACACCCAAACTCGGAGGGGCTTTCAGGTGACCCGGGGCTTACAGCTGACGTCCTCACGTGTCGCTGTAGAATCATGTGTGGTCGCACCCTCTGTGTTTTTCACTGTATTGGGAGATGTATTCTTAACATGTACCTTCAAGTGCGGAGCATTTTAAATCTTTAATCAAACGCTGGTGTCAAAAGCTTAGAAACTGGTGCTGGATGGGTAAGAATGAAGGATGCTGTGCAGTCTGATAAGTGAGCAACCGCCTGCCACCAAGGGGAGACCCGCCCACTCCCTTCTGGGGGAGGCCTCTGCGGGCCTCAAGGCTGGGACAGCAAGGGCGTCTTGGCTATAACACCTCGCCCGGTCCTTTCCTGTCTTCTTCGGATGCCAGCGTGAGGGGAGAGAGCTCCGTCCGTCTGATTTAATCCTGTTTGCTTCTCCAGGCTTCGTTCTCATGTTCTTTTTTTTCTGCTTAGTCAGTCTTTGAATTAGATGTTATAATGAAGGTCTTTTAAGCCAAACTTCCTCTCTCAAAGCCAGCAGGCTGCATTCGGACAGATCACCTAGCCAGGTAACCCACCACGGCATTCTCCTTTGTTTGTTTTCGGTCCTTGTCTGGCGAGGTGGAAAGAGAATAGGGAGTCAGCTGCTGGAAGGCTAGGCAGCGTGTGCCGCGCTGGCTCTCAGACCCCAGGAGGACTCTGGGCCCAAGCCCCTTTCGGGGTAAAGAGAAACAATCCCCCACGGGAGGGGAGTAACTCATCCTGGGAGGCATTATTGCTGGATCCCTCCAGGCCCCCGACAGTGCCTCCGCCCTCTGCCCAGCACAGTGCCCTCAGCGCTAACCTCGGCCGCGTTACCTCGAACCCTGCACATGGCCAGTGGTGGCCGTGAAGCCTGCGCACACCGACCAAACTCCTCTGCAATCACACGCGTCCGTGGACGGGTCACCATGTTAGTGGCCTGGGTACTGCCCCGGGTGCCCTCGCTTCGTCCCCACCGCCCTGCCTAGCGCAGCCTGTGCGTGGGTTAACGCTCTGGTATCTGGTCTCTGGGTCACTGGCCTCCTTTCCTACCGACACTGCTCAGTTACCTCCATCCCGGGGTAAGGAAAACATTCAGCCCCAATCGCCAGGCTCCAGGTGCCGGGGAGCCCCAGGCCCCGCCTAAAGCGCAGGCGGGTTAGGGTCAGGAGGGGCCGTGGGGACGAGCGGCGGCGTCTCCCACTCCGCACACGTGTGGGTCGAGGGCTGGGACTGTCAGCACCGGACACGCCGCGCCCCTCCCCTCAGCCGGCCCTTCACTCCCTGGCTCTTCAGCTCATCTTTCTTCTGCGGTCTTGTCTCCGCAGATGGACCACGACCCCAGGAAGCCCGCGTACATCGCCACCCAAGGACCGCTGCCCGCAACCGTGGCCGACTTCTGGCAGGTGAATCTTTTTAAATGAAATTTTGTTCTGAAAATAAGATCTTAATACATTGATCATGAATAACGCCTTGGATTCAATTAAGCCAATTGAGATTTGTTTACAGGTGTTCATCAGATGTTCCTTGATTTCAGAATTTATATGAGCCCTTTCATATTTTTTATTATCAGTCTTTTTTTCCAAAACTTGAGTGTCAAAAATTCCCTTTGAGAGATTTAATACTTTAAAGACTCTTACCTTTTTAGCCACTTTACTTTAGCTGCTTTATTTTATGAACTATAAAGAAATGAAATAATAAGTGTTTAAATTATTGTATTTTATTCAAATGCATCTCTTGTCTATAGTTTTAATTTTATGACGGTAAAAGATGGTGCTCAGATTATAGTCTCTGTCTTTGTGGATACTCTGTAATGATGCATCTTACAGGCCAGGTTGGTCTCTTTCTTTTCATTCAGCAAAATCCTAAACACTCAGACCAGGCTCAGACATTGAGAACTCGTGTCCACATTGGCCAATAAAAGGGAAACCAGGAGGCCAGTGGGCTTCCCTCTCGCAGTCCCCTCTCTTTTTCCCCATTGTCCACAGCATGGCAGAGCTCCGTAGGAACAGCTCTTGGAAGGTGGCACCGTGGGGTGTGCACATGAGGTCACGTCATTGCTCAGTGGCTATAACAACCCCCTCCTGTGTGTCGGGCACATCGGGTGTCCCCAGAACCGGTACAAAGGGCCCCCTGAGGACAAGTTGAGGAAGATGTGCCTTCTGGTTCCCGGGGCACAGGTGATGATGGGGCCGGAGCAGCGTGTGGTCCACAGAGCTGGGCTGTCTTGGTCCCGTGGCCATGCCGCCTCTAACCCGGTCGTTCATCCCGACAGAGGGACTAGCTGAAGTTAGCAAATTCCATGTTCCCTGTTCCCTGTGGTCTGACAGTCACTTTCCCAACTTTCCAGTCAACCCTCTCCTGACTCTCCACCCCAAGGAGGGACAGTGTTCCTCTCCACCCTTGAGAACGGTCTCTGCAGGCTTTTCCGGAGAGTCAGGAAGGGATCCAGGATTTGCTGAGTGTCCCAGGGCTCATTGCCTTGTAAGCATATCGATGCACAGGTGTCAACATCCCCAGTTCCCAGGCAAGACAAGCGAGCATCTGGGAGATTGCATAACTCACCCAGCGAGTAGGAAACCAAGACTGGACACGTCTCCGTGGCCCTGCTCTTTCATGGTGGCTTCACGCTATTAGAAAAAAAAGACCGAGCTGAACCCTGTGGTCATGGCCTAGAGCCATCAGGCTGTGGCATGAGGACAGTCTGAGGACAAGCTGGTCCCTCCACCCTTGAGGGCTGAGCCTCCTCCCCGTTACACCTAACCTGCTGAGGGGTCACGCAGCCCAGGCGGAGCTGCTCCAGGAGGGGAGCTTGGGGCCCGGGCCCGAGGGTCTTCCTCACGCCATGCGGAGCTGTGTTCCCGAGCCGTGAGCCCACTGGTCCTGGTTCTGCCCGCAGAGAGTCGCTGGAATTCCGTGGAGGCCCAGGGTCTGCTCAGCCACCTTCCCGGCCAACCCCAGGCTCCCCGTGCTCAGACAAGCAGAATAAAGAAAATCCCGAGTCGTGTGGCAGAATAAGGGACCCACAGAATCCCACTATCACCGCAGCTTCGACTGTGCTTTGACCCCCCATCCCAATGTGCACAGTTACAAGGGACGTGTAGTGCCCCCAAAGAGGGGAAGTTTCATTTTTATCGGTTTCAGGTCCCGGTTGTAACTTCACGCGTGAAAGCTTCTCTTACCAACAGGATCACAAGTGTCTGAGGGCGTAGAGATGCTCAGCATACTCATTGCTCACATCCGTGGACCACTTACCGTGTACCAGGCCCTGTGTCGAGGGTTTTACACATTCTGTCCTATAATCTTGGCAGTCCGTGAGACTAGAGGCTCATACTCTGCCCCAGCGCCCGTGGCTAGCACACAGGAACACTGGTATGTTTTTCTTTCTGCTTATTCCGAGTAGTTGCCATTGTTGGGGACAATTCATTTTGTCAGTATTTATAATCAGTATTTGTCAGTATTTATACTGACAAGTATTTGTCAGTATTTATACTAATAGGATTCTAGAGCATTTATGGAGGTCTGATATCAAGGAGCATACGTTCTCGAAATGGAAAGAAAATATCCCTAAATGACACAGCTGGAGAAAAGCGTTAAGGTGAGATGAAGTGCAAGATGCTTTGAGACAGGGTCAGCATTTATCAAACTGTCCAGGAAGCAATGGCATCCCTCAAGGTGGGAGCAGATACTCTGTGGCCAACAGGCTGGCCCTCCCGGGATGTCTGGGGCTCGTCAGCCCGTCACAGCCTGGGAGCCGTCCTGCAGCAGAAAGACCTGCCTCACTTTGTCTCCTCCACAGCCCTTGGGAGGGACGCCATGGTCTCCACACCGGCCTCAGGGCGTCCGGATGCAGGCAGAACGCAGTGAAGACGTGTTGGCCTTGGGACGGAGGCACTTCATCGCTTGTGATTTTCTTCCCAGCACAGTCACGTTGGTCGGGTTGGCCTCTGAATCATATTCTAGAAGTGGGCATCTAGCAAGCATGGCTCTTTATTAATAACTCACCCAGGTCACAGGCTCGACATCCTCAAACATTCCAAGTCCAGCTGCCCCCTCCACCTCGGGCCCAGCAGAAAGCGCGAGGAGGAAACAGCACCGGCCTTGAAAACTCCTTGCAGAACTTCTCAAAAGCCACAGTGAGGTGCGAGCTCTTTTGAGAATAGAACCTGATTTGAAACGTAAGAAGTTTCCAAGGCAATAGGCTGAACGGAGACCTCTGAGTAAGGGTTCATGTCTCATCGCGTTGTCTGGATTCACGGCCTTTGACAAGTTTTGACCCAGGAGCTCAGCACCTGTTACAGAAAATATCGAAGCGTCTTCCTCTTATTGGAGCTCGTGGGTGCTGCTCTGAAGCCCCTCCCAGGGACGAGCTCACGGGGGCTTATTCTGTGTCTGTGATGAGCAAATCCCCATAGGAGAGGCCCCTGTGAGGCGGGTTCACATGAACGGCGGTGTCCCCTTTCCCACGGCACAAAGGAGCCCAGGCCGGGAGCTGAAGACAGCAGCTTGTTCCTTCTCCTGTTTCCAAATACGGCCACGTTCACAGGTTCGTGGACGTGACTTTGGGGGACATTATTCCACCCAATACGATGGCAAAGAAGAAAACAGACACTAAGCCCCGAACGTGGCAGCATCGCAACAGGACGGGTGGCCGCAGCAGGAGGCCGCAGGGCGGGCAGGTGGGCAGAGGAGGGCCAGGGTTACGCAGCAACGCCGAGGTCATCGGCAGCCTCGGGACTGAGGGGCAACATGCAGAGGAGGGATCGGGGAGACTCCGTCTGCACGCAGACACGGCACTTCTGGAGCATTCCATCGTAGGTGTGACTCAGCGGCAGCCCTTCTGCCCTGACTGCGGTCACCACGAGGCAGGGGCTCCTGCTCCAGCCGGGACCCTCACTCCTGACTCCCCACCCCAAGGGCTCTGCCGGGACGCACAGCACTGTTCACCGTCCCGCGATTAGAATTCTTTCTCTGAATTCACATGACGTGTTCTAAGAATTTGATTCCAAACCAAATGCATGCCCGACCCACGACCTTCCTGTAGAAACATGTTCTGACCTGTGAGGACAGCCCCACGTGTCCCCGGGGCCTGAGGTGGCAGCTCTGGGAGAAGGCAGACCGATGTCCGGGTCCAAGTTCACGTGAGGAAAGAAGCAGGAGAGAGGGGGACAACAGCTATTGAGCGCTTACCGTGTGCTGGGCCCAGGGCAGGCGCTCGGGGTGCGTGACCTCACCCGACGCCCCTGACAACCTGGGGTAAGGCTGTCGCGAGTGTGTGATCCCCCCAGACGGGGTCCCGCAGAGACAGGGGCCTGGTGGGGGCCTGGGGCTGGGGAGGGGTCGGGGAGTTGGTGTTTGGTGGGGCAGAGGCTCAGTTTGGGGAGATGAGAAAGTTCTGGGGACAGTGGTCGTGATGGTGGCACAAGGTGAACGTCCTGAAAGCCCTTGAACCGTACACTTAAAACTAGTTAAGAAGGTATTTCTATGTTATGTATGTTTCACTAGAATAAATGAAAATCAGGACCCCAATTCCAGCAGAAAAGCTGAGGCCCAGGGATTCCAAACGACCCCCCCAGATGCACGCAGCAGCGGCAGGCGGCTTTCAGACGGGATCTGTACGGTCCGAAGTGCTGCTTACTGCCCACTGGCCTTAAAGCGAGGAGGGGCGGTGACTGGGCAGGTGTGTCTCCGTGAAGAGGAGAGAAAGGCCATCCCGCTATGGGCACTGTCGGCTCTCGCGGGCCAGCCCCCTGCTGTGACGGAGGGGACATGGTGCCTCCCCTCCAGGCACGGAGGGTGTGAGCTACATCCCCCAGGTGTGCATGTGCATGTGCGTGCGTGTGTCCAAGGCTAGAACTGGGGGAAGGCTTTTCCAGGAGCCGAGGTTTCCCTGCAAGGAGGGGAGGCCTGCACACCCGCCAGGAGCCAGGCCCGCTGGGCTCACACACGAGCTCCAGGTGCCTAGGGAGCTTGGGGACAGCCTTCCCGGAGAACAGCGGCCTCTGGGCTGTGAGCAGGGTGGGAGGACGAGCCCCGGGCACAGGCTGCCCGGCCCTGAGCTGTCCAGGCGGGCATCACCCGTTGGTCCTGGAGCTGCTCCGGCCCCCGGCCCTACCGTCCCACCCCCGCGTTCCAAGGAGCCCCATCCACGTGGGCCGTGGGCTGTCTGCCGTCTCTCCTTCTGTATTTTCGGACAAAGCAGAAATTCAGGCAGCGCGGTGGCTGGTTCAGGTGCGTGAGGACTCCCTGCGGATGTGGACCCTATGGTCGGCACGCGAGGTCCCCAGCCAGCCAGCGGTGGCTGAGCTCAGGGCCAGGGCCCCTCCAGGGCAGGGGCTGGTGGCCGTTCCCCGCTCACTGGGGGCTGGGTGAGGGGAGACGCTCTAGAATTTCCAGGCTGGCCCAC